TGTAGGGGCCCTTAATAATTAGAATAGGGTTTTGGGGCAGATTATACCATATTTACAAAAAAAGGAAACCCCCAAAATAGTATAGGTAAGTATTAAGGCCCCGACACTAATTATGAACCTTAAGTCCTAAGTGTTTCGGGCTCTGCGTAACTCAACACAGGCCTGCCCTGTGGGGTCTAGCTCGGCAGATCTGAAGTGGCCATCCAAACCTCCTGGCACCCCGATGGTTAAATCATTTAATGGGGCCTTACTTATTGGTACAGGGCTTTAGGTACATTATTATACTTTTTGATTTTTCGCAAAAAAGTTGATTTTTTGTAAAAAAAATCAAACATGAGGGCTTTAGGTATATTATACTTTAGGGAACCCTAAACCCTAAATCCTAAACCCGAAGCCCAGGTCCCATCCGGCCTTCATCAAGGCCTTACAGGGTGGCGTGCTGCAGCAGCTGGACCTCGATGAGGAGACTTGATAGGGTTGAGGGTTTAGGGTTTAGGGTTTTGCTTTCGGGGGGGTTTTGGTGTTTTTGGTAGGGCTTAGAGGAGGGTCCAAGGACGCCTGATCCGCAGACAGGTCGGAAACATACATGCAAGACTGAGTAGAAGTTGGAAATCTTCTCATAGGAAATTGCTCATTCCGAATCAGAGTAGCCCCTTGAATTGAAAGTCGGCCTCCCGAAGCCTAGTCAGGACTCCGGTGATTCTCTGGAAGACGAGTGGGAGGAGACTTCGACGCTTGGTGTCGGCGGGGAAGCTTCGGAGGTCCATCACGACTATTTGCAAGTAGGTTATCTCCAATCTCAATTGTCTTGAGCTTGCTGCCGGAGATGAGTTCTAGATGTTCTGGTTTTAACAGCGCTTCCTCCTTCTCCTCTTCTTCCTTGCAAGCTGTGCGTGTTTCGTCGTGTTTGTACATGATGAGTTCCGTTCGTGTTTTCTGCAGTTTGCATCACATCATTCTCTCATCGGAACGGTTTTCGTTATGCACGCCTGGTGTCCTGAATTTGCTCGGCATCCATAGCCATTACGAGCCTGGGCTTTTTGATCTGAGGAGCCTGATGCTTCGAGGATTCCTCGTGTGCTTTCTCTTGGGGGGGGATCCGTGTGGCCTTTGTCCGAGCTCTGCAGGATGACCTGAAACCCTCAGATGCTGGGGGCCTTGCCTAAACGGTCCTACACTCAAACCCAAGACAGCTTTCGGGACCGCACTCTCTTTGTGCTGAGGACCTATCTCTCCGACGACTTCTCCGACGGGCCCTTGCCAGAGTCAAAGCGCTTTGGCGATTGACCATTGCAGGTAGGGTCGCGGCTGATGCTGTCCTGCCGCTGCTCCCATGGCTGTGGTGATTATGATTCCTGCCACTGCATTCCGAGTTCCTACACCCCAAATAGTGGAGTCGAAGCCTCAGCCCCACAAGAGGTAGCATTCCACCAAGGCACCGGGAGGACCTCTAGCAGCGTGCGACGTCGCTGGCGCCGTGAGTTCTGCGATGCGCAGTGGGCCGCGTGATCTAAGGAAGCTGAGGCTTAGGGTTTCGGGTTTAGCATGTAGAGCCTAGGAAAGTCTGCTTTTATGGTACCTTCCTAGGAAGACTGGGTCCCCCGAACTGAATCGACATTCTGATCGGGGTTTGGGGCATATGCGGCCGAAGGGTTTACTGTTTAGCGTTGCTGGTTCTGAGGTTTGCAGGCCGTGCTGACCTACTTGGAGGATCATGGGACTTAGTAAGTAAGGTTATAAGTCCCCTAATTGGGGTTATAAGTATAGTTACCTTATTGATACCCTAGTTACTAAGTCCCATGATCCTTTAAGTAGACCCCAAAGCCTAAAAGCCTGAAGCTTCCGCCCTCAACCCCACCTAAACTCCCAACCCTACAGACCCACCATCACAGAGGCAGCAGCAAATGGGAGAAAGTGACGGGACCCTGTTTCATGTAGGCCTGGCCCCTATAGACAGTCGGATCCTCACTTTAAGAGCCCCCTGGCCTTAAGACTCCCTCTGTGAAAACCCGTTTTAACCCAACCCTAAACCCTAAACCCGTATTAAAGCTTCGGAAAATCCGACAAATCCTAGCTCCGCGCTTTCCGAAGCTCGCCCGCCAGTTGAAAAAGGCCGGTGCTCAAGGATGTGGAATTCAGGGTTCTATAATAAGGGCCCTAAGCCCTAAACCCTAAACCCTAAACCCTAAACCCTAAACCCTAAACCCTAAACCCTAAACCCTAAACCCTAAGCCCTAAACCCTAAACCCTAAACCCTTAATAAGGGCCCTAAGCCCTCAACCCTAAAAGGGTGTTATGGGAGCTTTACAGCTTTCGTAGGGGTTGAGGGCGGGAGGGAGGTTTGGGTTCAGGTTCAGGCTCGAGGACCTGAGAATTCAGAAGTGGGGGTTCCGCGGTTCAGAGTTTAGGGTTTAGGGTTTAGGGTTTAGGGTTTAAGGTTTAGGGTTTAGGGTTTAGGGAGTTTCCTAAGCTGTGCAAGAAAGCTCGAGGATCATAAGCAAGCAGGTTCCAAGTGCTCTGTGATGACACCAGATGGCCGTTTGGGCATTTTCATATAGGGGCCTAAAAAATTACCAATCTATTTGGGGGCGCTCCTTATTGTGGGCCCCAAAACCTTATTCTAATTCTTCAGGCCGTTTTTTCGTAGTTGCATCATAGAAGGTCTTATGAAGCACAGGTTTCCAGAAAGTTTTAAGGGCCAAGCCAGCCCAGTACTGGTTTTGACATGTGCATTTTGCACTGTGTCCTAAGACCCCTATAGAGACTTTAGAGGCCTTGTAGTAACCCTTAGAGCCCTTGTAAACCCTAAACCCTAAACCCTAAACCCTAAACCCTAAACCCTTAGAGCCCTTGTAGTAACCTGTGTAGTAACTCCGTGAGCAGCTCTTGCATTTTGCGTTGGCCCATCTCGGGGTTCATGTTCAGAAGTCATGCTATATCGAAGCATGAATAATAATCAACCACTATTACTCCATGCCATAACGGTTCTATTCATGTCATATTCTGAGTTTCCCCAATGCCTAGTCATTAAGGCCCCTACATTACGCAACTGAGCAGACGATTTCTGCCAGCATACACCTGCCATGAAGAGCCTTAGATTGCAAACTATAAAGAACCCCAAAGTCTCCAAGCCTGCAGTCTCAATGTTTCCAGGAGGCCCACAAAGACGACTTCCTTCCCACCTTGGCCTCCGAGGCGCGGATGCAACGGGGATTTCCGAAAATAGGGGACCCTGATATAGTACCCTAAATAGTAGGATCCTTATTGTAAGGACCCCAAAATAAGGTACCCCTTGTTTTCAAAAACTCCCAAAGCTTCAGGATTTGCTTTGAGGGCTCCGACTGCAGTCAGACGCAGACAGAGCTCGGGGTTGTCGAGCTTCAGCCTTTGTCGGGTTCGTAAAACCCAAGTGCTTTGTAGAGCTCCGAAGGATAGAAAGTCCCCTAAACCCTAAACCCTAAACCCTAAACCCTAAACCCTTGCAAGTTTTGAGACCTGAGCTGCCCGATCCAGAGATTAAGGTTGATAAGGCTAGTGCTAGTGGGTTTATCAGGGCGTGACAGGCTTGCATGCATGTGTTATATGGGTATTCTAGGTTATATACCAGCTCATTGGAGTTTTATAGGGTTTAACTAGATCAGGGATGTAGGGCCGACACAGCAGCTCGTGGCAGGCGCTCGAAATTATTGGGGTTGAGAGGTTTAGGCATCTCGGATTTAAGGAGCCGAGAGAAAGCAGGCTTGAAGCTGTTGTAGTTCCCCCCCCAAAACGTAGACCATTGCGAACTAGTCTGGATGATAAGCGCATGCTCATACTGTTCGCATAGTCGGCATAGTCATAATCCGACAGTTTTCTTCTAGGAGCATCTTTATTGAGATCTTGACCCTAAACCTCACCTGGACCCTATAAAACCTGCCTTTTTAGGGATGCTTATGATGATTTTCTTTGTATAAATCCTTAAAGAGGTGGGTTATTTAGGGTCAAGGTAAACCCTAAAACCCTAAACCCTAAACCCTAAACCCCTAAACCCTAAACCCTAAACCCTGAACCCCACAGTCTTCCTCGTCTCAACCCAGATCCTCCAGCTACGTGGACTCCACGCAAAGAGACTCGACGACTTCGCAGACTGAACGGAACACTTGAAAGTTAGGGTTTAGGGTTTAGGGTTTAGGGTTTAGGGTTTAGGGTTTAGGGTTTAGGGTTTAGGGTTTAGGGTTTAAGGATTAGGTTTAGGGTTTAAGGCACTGATCCCAAACCTAAATCTGTCTTAACCCTGAGCTCTACAGCATGTTTCAAGGGCTCTGGAGTTTCAATCGTATAGGGACCTAAAAAATTACCTACAATAGTTTGGGGGTCCCTTATTATATTTTTAGTAGAATGTACCCTAGAAGGCACAAGCAAATACCCAAACTCGCGGAGCCTCGTCGTGAGCCCCTCAACAGAATCGCTGCGCATGTCCTACAGACGAAGCCTCACGAAAACCTAGGGTTTAGGGTTTAGGGCTCGGGGGTTTAGGGTTCAGGGTTTAGGGTTTAGAGCTTAGGGGTGTGAATCCGTTAGGTTCTGTAAATCTCCCAGGCCATTAGCAGCGTCGAAGCGGGTCCACCCCAAGGCGGGGTGCACAAGCCCATGCCTGTTGCAACTCGCACCGGGGCTTGGAGGCTTCGGGTTGAGGTTTAGGGCATTATTATCGCAGTTTGGGGTTCAGCTGAAGCCTACAATCGGCCGTAAATGCAAACGAAACCGGAAGCCCTAAACCCCTAGGCCCTAAGCTGTCTGGATTTCTACTTGGAGGTTCATGGGCAGTAAAAAGTGGGACATGCGTAATATTCTGGCTTAGAACTGTAGTTTTCCTGCTTATGACCCACCTCTAACTCTCACTAGCCAAAAACCCCCAAGTACCGTCCCTAAACCCTAAACCTTAAACCTCTTTATCATGGGATAGTGTAAACTTTAATGACTTCGCGGGCCATGGCCAATAATTCGTGGGCCATGGCCAATTTGCCATAAGCCACGAAGTTTGGCTATAAGCCAGGAAGGATTTGCCATAAACCATGGTTTATGGCAACTTTCCCTTCCTGGCCTTAATTGCTTAACGGGTTTAGGGCTCCTGGGTCTAAAGTTCCTGGGTTTTAGGTGAATAAAATCCAACTGTGAATGCAACTCATTTATGTGAATGACATAACTGTATGTATATTTTCCAATGTTATGGGATTCTAGGGTGGGTGCGTGTTATGTCTAAACCGTGAATGTAACCTTACTGTAAAACTGCTCGATCCGGAGCTGCTGAACCCAAAACCCTAAACCCTAAACCCTAATCCCTAAATCCTAATCCCTAAACCCTAAACCCGAAACCCTAAGCCCTAATCCCTAAACCCGAAACCCGAAACCCTAAACCCGAACCCTAAACCCTAAACCCTAAACCCTAATCCCTAAACCCTAAACCCGAAACCCTAAACCCTGTTTGTTTCAGGTTTTCGGGCGGCCGGCCTTCCTCAGCGGGTAGAAGAGCTGCCCAGCGAGGCCTTGCGTCTTAGCAAAGAGACTTTGCTGTTTAGGGTTTAGGGTTTAGGGTAAAGAAACAGGGTTTAGGGTTTAGGGTAAAGAAACAGGGCTTAGGGTTTAGGGTAAAGAATTCGGGTTTAGGGCTTAGGGTTTAGGGGCTATAGTGCATTTTCGTGCATTATTAAGTACCCTGTATTACATCCTCGTATCTTGTAGTTCCTGATAATAGTAAGTACATCATAGTATCTTTTGCTGGTTATTACAGTGCATTATGGTACCCTGTATTACATCATCGTATCTTGTAGTTCCTTGTAGTGTATTATAGTATCTTCGAGGTTATAGTGCAGTATAGTACGTCATTGTAGTACATTGTAACATCTTGCAGCCTGAGAGGGATTAACGATATGTAGCCCTTACAGAGCAAGATTCCGATAGGGAATAGTGACGGTGGGGTGGGGTGGGGCTTCGGGTTTAGGGTTTGAATAGTGATAGCAGTCATACCCATACCGTCTTCTAATTCTTCAGGCCCTTACATACAAGCCGTATAGGGATCAGGGTGCTCCGATCGTGGCTCTGGGCGTTGTGGTAGAGGGCTCTTAGGGTTTAGGCTTTGGGATGTAGGGATCTTAGGGTTAGGGTCAGGGCTTAGGATGTAGGCATCTTAGTTTCAGGGTTCACGGGCTTTAAGGGTAGGGCTTTAGATGCTGAAGAGGGTTTTCGCGAAGTAAGTTCACCTTCAGGCCCTAAATCCTACACAATGCGAGCTCCTTAGAAACTCAAGTGAAGCAAGCAGAGGCGGGAACCGGCCATCCCAACCACGCCGTGGGTCGCATGATCCTCCCGGAGAGCATCCCAAAAGGCTCCGTAAGTTATTTGTGCTTAGGGGTTTTCGGATTTGGGGTTTGAGTTCAAAGATGTTGGGTTTGAAGTGTCGAGGGCCTAGGGTCTGGGGTTGGGGCTGATTTCGTTTCTGAGTTTGGTTCAGGGTCTCTGAGTTTTGAACGCTATGAACGCTCAGCAATTTTTTGCAGGTTTTTGAGAGTGTACATGGAGTTTATCGGATGTTCAAGATTCAAGATCCATGCAGGGTGGATTTCGAGGGGTCCGAAGGGCTAGGGGTAGATTGGTTCTGGCGTCTAGGATTGCGACAAGGATCAGGGCCATGTTGGCGACGTTCGATTTTCATCGTGGGTGTTGTGCTTCTTTTGGTACTGCGCCTAAACTCCAAACTCAAAGTTCGAATCTGCAAACCCTAGCCCCATTGCGCAATCCGTAAACAAATCCTGATTGTAACCCCTATGCCCCCAACGTGGTTATAACCCCTCCAAAACCTTGAACCCTGAGGCCAAGCTAGAATGTAGTGCTTCTAGTATCCTTAAGTTAAGTAGCACCCTTAAGTAGTACCCTCATATAGTTCCTTACATAGAACCCTCTACTACCCTAAACCCTAAACCCTCATATAATTCCTTACATAGAACCCCTACTACCCCAAACCCTAAACCCCAAACCCTAAACTCTCATATAGTTCCTTCCATATAGGCCCCTACTACCAATTGCAAAAACCGAAGCGCTAGAAAGCCAGGTCTGACGGTTCTGGAGCAGCTGACTTACCTCGGCTTCGACCTTCGGCCAGCCGAGCGGGGACCTTGCAACTTTTGCTGCTTTTTTTGCTCCATGTTATGGTTTAGGGTTTAGGGGTTTGGGGTTTAGGGTTTAGGGTGTGTGTGTGTGTGAATGGGTTTCGGGCGTCGCAAAACTCCAGCAAGATCAGTTTACTCTGCTGTGCTTGATTGCTGTTGCGGTTTAGGAAGCTCGTAGGTTGAGGGGTGGAGCTTTTGGGTTTAGGCGCTTACCGGGCTGCCGGGGCGTGTGATTAGGGCTGATTCGGGTTCGAAGCTCTTGCTTGGGGTCGTCAGGTTCGAGAGGATCTTCTCGTTGTTGTTGTCGTCGTCGTTGTTGTTTGGGTTTCGGGTTTGGGGTTGCTGTCCTGGGTGCCGGTGGCTCGTTAGTTCCAGGCGTTCTGGAAGAGTTGCTGAAGGGAAGGTTGCAGTCATCCAAAGGGCTTCCTCTCGGGCTTTAAAAGACTTGAGGACTCGATCAAAGCATTCAGCGTCAAGAAGAGGCATGGGTACGCGGTGCCAGGTAAGCCCAAGACGGCTTCTTTAAATTCAGGCTCCACCCGGTGCCTTTAGTTCCATATTAGGGTTTAGGGCTTAGGGTTTATCGGGTTGAGGGTTTAGGGTTTATTCCTTTCGGAGGCATTCGTGGGGTGTACCAGCAAGCAGTTGGGCTCACGATGATCCTTCGCCGGCCATCGGAGCTAGAGCTACTACCTCAATCTGAAAATAAGGTATCCGGATACCTTATTTTGGGGTCCTTATACTAAGGATCCTACTATCTAGGGTACTGTATTAGGGTCCCTTATTATCGGAAACCCACATCTCTACATCCACCCTTAAAGTTAAAGCCCCAACGCAGAGCCCTCAATGGCCACCCCCTAAGTCACGAAGCTCAACACGCAGCGTATTCACGCCGTACCAGACCAGGGAACAAGCGAAGAACAGCAGCACAAACGCGCGACGCGTCCTTCCCAGAGGGTGCCAACATCAACGCAGTCAAGACCTGTCAAGCCGCTGATATCCTATACCCCAAACCCTAAACCCTAAAAGCTTCTAGTCATTCCTAAGCACGGCTGGACCCCAAGGTGGGCCTCAAGAAGAAGTCTCACTCTTGAGGACATTCTCGGCAGTTCTGTGCAGCTTAAGCAAGGGTGCGGCAAGCCTGCAAACTTAAGTCTTCATGCCCTCAACGCCCAGAGAGCTAAGTCTAGTTTAGTTGTCAAGCTTGAGTTCGGCCAGGCGGGTGGTGTAGACTTTCACCATGCTCAGAGAGTAGTGAATACACGGTTTTTGGAAGCGGAGCGCCTTCATCTGCATGCCGGACGTAAGGGCGTGAAATTCCTGTCGATTTGGGGCTATGGTCCGAGTCTCAAACTTCCCAGAGATGTTCAGAACGGCAGTTTCGACCCTTACTAGGCTTCGAGGCCCCGGTTTTGGGGACTGATCTCAGCAGTGTGTAGAGCTTGTGGTGGGGATTCTCAGACAGCCCAGCTGCGAAACCACAGGGATAAGGAAACGGAGCTAACGATTAAGCTCAGATATCCGGGTAAAGTTTCGAATGTAGAAGTTCCGAGGCTTGGACTAGTGGTCTGAGAGCTGGAGGTTTCGAGTTCAGCAGCCTTGAGTACTTCGTGCTTCGTTTCTGCATCTCGGCAGCTACGCCACTGTCTGCAGGATGCCGTCAACTTGCTGAGCGGACAGGTGCAGACCTCGGCAGCCTCTGGCACGATGTGGTGCAGTTGTGCGTGAGCGTGTATGTATGTATGTATGTGTGTATCAGTAGCAGTCGTCGTCGCCAGTGTCGTAAATCATCATACATGCAGCAGCGACGAGGACAAGGACAAGACAGCCACTGCCGACACCACCACCAAGGCGACAACCACCATCACCACCCCGGCGGCTACGACGGCCAGCAACAGCATTGACGGCAGCGCAGCGCAGCAGCAGCAGACAGCTGCTGCAACCACAGCTTCAAAAACCATCAATCACGAGGATGTTGATGCCACGAGCCATTGACATGGAAGTCAAGACCCGTGAGTTGGGATTCTGCAAGCGCAGCTTTGGAGTTATTGAAGTTGAGTCCTTTGCTTTTGCATTACGTTTTGGTACCTCGTAACGCCCTTGGCGACCATAAGCCCCTAAACCCTAAACCGTCCTAAACCCTTTGGTCCCTAAACCCCCAAAGGACTCATCCCACCGCACCAAGCTCGAAACTCTTGGCCGACGGCCTGTCGGGAGGAGTTCAACAGGTGTTAGCATGGGTTCGGGGTGCAGTAGGACGTTTGAGGTGTGGGGTTGATCGTGTGGCAGTCTACCCCGCAACCTTGAACCGTGAACGCCTCACGCCCCTCTAAACCCTAAACCCTAAACCCGAAACCCTAAGCCCCAAACCCTAAAATGCCACAAATAAAGCCTGGAGCCTTAACCACCGCAAAGCCGCGAGGCGATGGCAAAGAAGAAGAGCCACTTCATCTTATCGGGAACCCTGAACCCCTAATCTCAAGCTCTAAAGCCATATAAAACTCTTATGGGAGCCCTTTTTGCAGTGCTCATCGGACTCCCGTATGGACACGCAACGGGGCTGCTCTGCCGAGCTTCCAGGCCTCCGTCCAGTTATGACGCCGAAAGTTTCACCTTCGATCTGGGGGTTGTCAAAATTAGGCACTCCCCGTTTAGGGCCTCAGTAACACTAGTAGACGGTGGGGATGTCCTCTTCTTGTCCCTTTGTGGTCCCAGTACACTATACTTCGATCCCTTCTCTAAGTAGGTACTCCTGGCTGTTAATATGGTTGCAGGTTGAGGGTTCACGTTGCTGGTTCAGGCTGTATGGTCAAAGCTGTAGAGATTGAAGTACTGGTTTAGGTTGTATGCAAGGGTCGATGCTACTTCCATGATGGGATATCCCAAACCCTACACTCTAAACACTAAAAACCCTAAGCCCGGTGTGTGAGCTCAGCTCAGCACAGATTAAGAAACAAACTAAACGCTATGGAATAACCTCACATCCTATGTCCTAAAGGCCCTAAGCCCTAAACCCCGAAGCCCTAGACACCCTAAACCCTAAAGCCTAAACCCCAAACCCCTAAACCCCGAAACCCTTAACACTGCGTTACACCCTAAAGGGGAGCATCCTTTCGAGCAACCCCCATCTGACTCGCTCGGCCGTTAGCGCACCGGAACAGCCAGAAACCGGAGACATGGCCGTGACACACTGGGAAGGGTTAGGGTTCTGGTTTAGGGTTTAGGGTTTAGGGTTTAAGGTTTAGCTCGGGGCTTCCGAAAATTCGGTGTCCCCTTTCTTGAGGCATCCTTGGCTTTAAGGATACTTCTATTCATCTATCTATCTATGTATCTATCTACCTATCTACCGACCTAGGTCACACGTATGTAAAAGGCTGCGTGGGTTTTCGCAAGCAGCATATTATTCGAATGTGCTTTTAACCCACGCCTGCCAGCAAATGTGAGCAATTTGCATTTATGCTTCTTCAAGTGACTATGTAGGATCATACTGCCTTGAAACTTAGGGCGTTGCTGTAAATACCAGTGTCTTGGGCATGGTCGCGGAAGGCATGGACGCTTGTGATAGA